ATTCATTTATGTTTGTAAATAATTTATTTTCAATTTGCAATCTATTAAAAAATAAAATAAAATGTTATTTTGAACTGTTAAAACAACAGCAACAACAACAACAAAAAAAACCCTTGAGATTTTGACAACTCTTAAAAGATGGACTAAAAGGGATGTGTATGAATCTTTGAGGGCCCAGGGGCAGAATGTTAAGGTCTGTGTCTAGTTGTCCCCTCAAAGTCTCATGCAGTCATGGGGTAAACTTCTAAAGTTTGTGATTAACTCATGATCCTTTGGGATTATGGTATGAGTATTATACCCAGTCTGGGGCCAGTCACCTGAATGCAACATAAGGGAGACAAACTTACTCATTGTTGCTGCTACTCCACCCTTTTGTGCTCTGCTCTTTGCCATCACTGTGAAAGGTTGCTCTCTGCCGTGTTGGAAGCAACTGAGTATGGACTGAAACCTCCAGTAACTGTGAGCTAAGTAAACCTTTCCTTCCTTCATTTTGAGCGTCAGGTATTTGTCCCAGCAGCTAGAGAAGAGTAACTGAGATACCATTTCAGTAAAAACTCAGAAAACTGGAAATAACTTATCTACAAAGTAAAAATTCCTTGACACTACAGCATCTAGTTTCAGTATCTTGTTTTTTTTCTTTCCCCACATAAACTATCTTGGTACTCACACTATAGCTGGTTTCTGTGAGCCAGTTTAAGTTTTCCCTTTAGGGAAGACTTTGAGGTGAATGGCTGAATTACTGAAGTTTGGTTTACTGTATAGGTATGACCTAGCACTTTGTTCTAATTTCATTTTACTTATTTCATGTAACAGTAACCAGGAAATGATTGCTGTTTTATTTTTGTTTAAAGTTTGCTTTTCCTTAAGCATCTAGTGAGCCACCCGCTTTGAGTGTTTGACCATCTCTGAATTCCACTGGGAACTTTTACCTTAGGTAACTGAGCACAGCATGGCTACTCCTTCATATCATGTGGATTCTTGGGCACTCAGAAATCACAAATTCTCACACTCTGTCCTTTTATGTTTTTGCAAACATATTTCTGTTAAGGATATGCTAAGGGTAAAGGAAAAGTCAGTTTCACCTGTTGTACTCTAAACAATGCATAATTTTTCAGTGTCCTTTCTCAGATTTCCTTCCTTGCTTTCTATCAGCTTTTTTAGCCCCAAGCTATACTTTTGTCATTTGGGCCAGTAGGTTCTCTGTAGAAATTTTGGGGCATACCTCACACCTAGAGCTATCCTCGGGGGAAAAAGATGTAAAAGAAATTTACTTTGTGGCAGCCCTTTGTTTCTAGGTATAGATTGTTCTCTGCTTTCTGTTTTTTAGTTATTTTCTATTGCTTTAAGGTAGTTCCTGCACTCCAGAATTTGTAGTTAGTGGAAGGATTTCACCTGAAGGGAGCTACTTCTTTATTACCAGAAAACATGAGAGCCATCTAAAACTCTTTGAAACAGTAATTGCATTTGAGTTCTTTTTTGTTTCTACCATTGAAGGTACCTAGTAAAGGCTTACTGAATTAAAGGATGAATGAAATGTTTACCTTGAAAACTGTTAATGGTTAAAATAGCTTATTTTGCTCTGCTTATATCTACTTTGATATATCTGTTCTGATCATTTGTCCAGTTTTTGGACTGTTTTTTATTTTCACTGTACATTCTGAATATTAGTCCTTTATTAGATATATAATTTGCAAGTATCATTCTCCTAAGCTTTTATTTTCGTCTTAACTACATGTTTTGTCAAGCATGTTTCTAATTTTGATAAAGTATTATTTATCAGTCTTTCTTTTCTGGACTCAGTTTTGTAGTGTTAGGGCTTTGCACATACTAGAACAAGTTCCCACTAATGAGCTACAAGTCCCTCCTCCTGGTTTTTGAGACTGGGTCTCACTAAGTTGCTTGCCTAGGTTAACCTTGAACTTTTGATCTTCCTGCCACAGCCTGGACTCTGCTTTTGATTGTGATATAAAAGCTCATTGTGAAAGGTTGGACCTAGTGGTACATGTCTGCAATCCCAGCACTGTGGGAGCCTGAGACCAGAGGATTACAAGTTTCAGCCTAACCAGAGCAAATTACTACTGACTTTGCTAGATCCTGTTTTGGAGTGAAAAAAAAAAGCTTGGGGGACATAGCTCATTGTGAAGGCTCTGGGTTAAATCCTGAGTACTGTCAAAACCAAACCCATTGTAGAACATGAGGTCACATAACTTTTCTCCTCGAAGTTTTGTAACTTTAGGCTTTACTTAACAGGTGTATCGTTAATTTTTATATTAAGATGCAAGGTGCAGAGGTTTGTTTGTTTATTTGTATTGCAGACATCTGATCTCACTGCTGTTGAGGGAAGAAAGCAAAGCTCTTTAATTACTGGCTTTTGAATGCTTGTGTGTCAGCCACTATTTTTTTTTTTTTTTTTTTCCAGAACCAGGGATTGAATTCAGGCCTTTTTTTTTTTTTTTTTTAGCAGAACCAGGGATTGAATTCAGGCCCTTGTGCTTGCCAGGGAAGCACTTATTCCACTGAGCCATCTCCCCAGCCCCTCAGCCACTGTTTTAAGTGTTACCTAACTCACTATTCACAGCAAGTCCATGTACCCTCCCATGAAGGGATTGAGAAGAAAAGTTTTCATTATTTGCCCAGAATTATAGAACTACCACGTGCCAGAACAATGGTTATCTCTTTGTAAGCCATGGGGAAGGAGTTTGACTTTTATCTTTAGGAGAGAGTCACATAATCAGTAAATTACAGGAAGATGGCTAATTTCATTTCAGATATTGGATTGTAGGATATGAAGATGGAAAGAGAACTGGCATGCTTGAGGAAAAAGGTGAATGTGATGTTGACAAGCAGGCCAATGGAAAAATATATGAAGCGGTGGGATAGTGACTTAGCAGGACTTGAAAAATGATTGGATATTGGATGTAAGAAAGGAAAGAATTAAAAGTAGGGAAGAAAGAAAAGTTGAAAGTTTCTGTTGTATATCCAAAGAATGTAAGAAGAAACATAGTTAGAAATTTTGAGAAGAGTTGTAGAAATTGGAGGAAGAGAGTTCTAAGCATATAGCGACTATCAAAGCATTTGAGAGAAGTGATTTATCCAGGCAAAAAGATAGAATACTTTAGGCAGAATATTAAGAATACAACATCTATGTGGAGTGAGGAGACAAGTTGGAATCTGAAGATGCAGTTAGAGACATAGGAAAAGAAAATGATTGTTGTAAGAGGCATAGTAGGAACAAAACAAACAGTACTATAGGAAGACTACTTAGCTGTGTGAAATACCATGGGATTTTTAGAAGGAGGAAACTGAGTAGGAAAGGTAATATTTTCATAATTGAATTTGAAAGCTATAAATTTGTAGTAGCTTCCATCTTTACTGTTCTGACATTTGCATTCACTCACTTATTTATACAGACATACATTTGTACAGGGTTACAGTAGGCAGCTTGGACTTTGTAGTGATCCTCCTGTCTCAGCCTCCTTAGTGAGCACTGGGATTATAGGTGTGTGCCACCATGCCTGGTTTCTGTGGCCTTGCACAGTACACCCAGGGCTTCAGGGCCGACATGGCATGCATTGCCAGGGATTGAACCCTGAACCCAGGTCCTTGCTCTTTCCCTGCAGGCGCTTAGACTACCGAGCTAACTCCTCCCCAGCCCTCCATTTTAAATTGTTCTTTTAAACTGCAAAGAGCCACTGGCTTTACACATTGTCATGTAAGAGATAAAAGGGAGTTCAAGCTCTTAGAAATGGAAAAATAAGTATCTGTTTTAGTTTGAGGAAAAGAGAAAAGAATTAGTGGACAAAACCTTGCTCTGAAAGTTTTATGTTGCTTTTAGGTAGAGCTGGGTCACCATTTTACTCAGTTTTTGTTTTCTTTTGATGATAATGGGGATTGATTCCAGGGACACTCTACCACTGTGCTGTACCCTCCAACCTTTTTAAAATTTTGAGGGCCGGTGAGATAGCTCAGTGGACTGGTTTTCAATCCTGGCACCACAGGCTGTTAGCCACTGAAATTGGGCATGGTTACGCTCGCCTGTAATCCCAGTGCAGGGGAGGCTGAAAACGGGTGGATCACAAGCTGAGCTGTGTAGAAAGACCCCGTACCAAATACATAGAACACAAATAAGAGACAAATAAAATTTTGAGACAGGGTCCTGCTAAGTTGTCCATGCTTTGATTGAACTTGACAGTTCTCCTGCCTGAACCTTCCAGGTAGCTGGCTTTATGAACTACGAGATTTATTATTGGTATAAAGTCGATAGATAATGGGAAATTTGGAAGACTTAAAGGAATGAAGAAATGCAAAATAATTTTATAATAGGAAACAAAAGATGTTTTAGTGCTTCAGCTTGTCTTTTTAAATCTTTTATATCCATCTCTTACTTAAGAACTTTTTTTTTTTTTTTTTTTTGCCGAACCAGGGATTGAATTCAGGCCCTTGTGCTTGCCAGGGAAGCACTTATTCCACTGAGCCATCTCCCCGGCCTGATAAGAACTTTTAAAAAGAAAACACTGAACCTATGTTTTTTTACGAATTGTAATGCGGACTGATGTACTATGTCTGGGGAAACCTGTCTATATAGAGAAATCTGTTCTTTCCCACCTCAGGTTATGCTAATACTAGTATTAGCAGCAATATATATGATACATGAATAGTCTAATTTTTGTTTTTGTTCAACAGGTTTGATCTGTGGATGAAATGAATCATGATTTTCAAGCTCTTGCATTAGAATCTCGGGGAATGGGAGAGGTAAATATTTACCAGTACTAAGAACTTATACCTTTATTTGAGCTATTGAAATTTAGCTTTGTTTTAACATAGCTCTTGGAAACAATAGTTATGTCCTCCAAACGATTTTCAGCATCAGATTATAAGTTGTATAGTTATGATTTTAACCTGCTTTTTTCAACCTCTAGTAATGAGTAATTTTTCATGTGATTACTTATGTCTAAGTGACTTGATTGACTTGGTTAGATAATGTTTTATATTTTGGTAATGAACCATACATAGCTTTGCTTAGAAGAAAAACACTTTTCTCTTTGTGCTGTCATTTTATGTATGTATTATTTGTGTGCTTTAGCTACACACGGTTGTTCACTATTTTTCCTCCCCTAAACTTCTCTTGTTTGTCTAAAACTGTTTGCTTAATAAACTTTCAATCCTTTGTGAGACATTCCTGAAGAGACTTATCTATTGTGTCAATGCTATTGGAGTAGAATTAATTACTTTCTTCATCTGATTTCTCCCAGTTCTTTAAATATACCTTCACTATCTTACTGGTTATAGTTTGATTTATATTTGTCTCTCCTTTATATTGCTAGCTTTGAATGCCTAAGATAGTAGATACTCCATATTTTTAAATTAATTTTATCATTCCTTTTTAATCTATGGTTTTCTTTGGAACACCAGTTTAACCCCTCACCATTATATATTTCAAGGCATCTAAAATACTTAGTTTTCCATATACATAGTGAAATTTTAGAGAAGTTTGATTATGAAATTTCTTGTCATATATTTTGTCATGCTCTGTACTACGTAGTGTGGACTTTGATAATAGTAAAGAGACTTAAGATATGTAATTAATTGCCTGCTCCTGGAGATTATTTTACTTTGGTAGATTAGAGACTTTCATGAGACTCACTCCATCCAATGCTGTGCTCTTCAGATGCAGAAAAAGAGTCCAGTCACTCCTTTGGGCCACAAGAGGGTACCCTGCAGCTAGCTAACCCTCCCCTTCTTCAGAACAGCGTTTTCCAAAGAGTTTGTCATTTTCAGAGGACTGATTTAAGGGTGAGTTAAGGTGCTTAAGCTTAAGTATTGCCAAAATAAACTTGTTAGTCCAGTGCATAAGATGAAATTCTGGGCCCTAAGAAAAAAATTGAGAGAGGAAATACTTTAAAAAAACAAAGCAGAACTATAGCTTTACTGTCTATATAGTACAGTGACCACTTAGGCATTAGTTGCACTGAGAGACAAAAAAGGGGGAATTTGAAAGGGTTTTTGTTCTTTCACTGTCACTTACTTTCTTTGTGGTGTTTAGAAAGTAAAACCTTAAAAGCAGATTTGAACAGTGTCCTTCTGGTCTAACGTACTTGAACTTGGTTTTTTAAAAGAGCAAAACCAGTCACACCCTATATTAATTTTAAACTCCTCATATTTACAAGATTGTATTGTGTAGGTACTTATACATAGATTTTTTTTTTCTTTTTCCCTCTTTATATATATAAATATTTGTTTCAGCAGGCACTTACACAACTGAGCTAATGGGCAGGCCCCCATATTTGATTAATCTAAAGATACCTTTTCAGTTCTAAAAAATGTCAGGCTCAGAAACAGTAGCTAAAAGGGTTAGTTATTTGGAGATAGAAGAATGTTTTATGGAAAGAGCCAGCTGAGTTGAAGAATATGATGAATAAGCCTAAATTCAGGCTCCAGAGGGATATGTCAGAAATGGAAAGCAAGGATGTCTGAGGTTTAGATTGCCTGCTACTTAATAGATAGCAGCAGGTCGGTATGTCTGTGACCTTCATCCAGTACCAAGATATTTTTAAACATTTTTATTAGATAAGTTTTTTTTCTTAATAGTTTACCAGTGAATATTGTTAACTATAAGAGATAGCTCAGAAAATTACTCAGATTTCTGTCTCTGAGTTCTCTTCTACAAGCCTTTCTATCTTTCCTCATCTCACAGGCAGCAGGGAACCTTCTGGGATTTCCTTCTTTGCCTGTCTCTCTCTCACCAGTCTTCTCCTTTCCTTACAGGTGAGGCTTTTTGATATTTTATTGCAGAATTCATTCATTGAAATACGTTAAAACCAGCCTTGAATTTCTGGCTGTTGAGTTTTCTAAATCTACCCCCACTTTTTTTTTTGTAATGCAAAAATCCCCTTTCAGTGGATTGCCCTATTATTCTTAGGATAAATTTTTGGGTATTATGTCTTAAGTGTTATAAATCTCTAATGTATAAAGCATTGCATTTACATATAGGGCTTATCTCAACAGAAATAGTCCATTTCTGTTTTTGTAGATCAGGTTGGGTTTACTGACCCATCATCAGAGGGGTAAACTTTTGGTTGTTGATCCAGAAATAGAAACATGCACGTTCATCTATTCATAGGCTCACCCTTAATATTTTTAACTTAGTAGCATTTTTTGTCAAAAGACCTAGTGGTTTGCATTATGTCTTATAGCTTAAGAACAAAATGAAGACATGAGCAGTTTTAATTGAACACACTTCAGAGGTACATTTTCACCATACACACACACGCACACACACACACACGTACAATTACTGGGTTCTTGTTTATTTTTCAAATGATAAAAAGAATCCTGCCTGAAATTCCCTTAGCAAACCCAAAACTTATCTTTGAATTCCTTAGTTGATGTGGTTATTTTCATATCTTAATATGATAATGCCCCCCCCCCCGCTTTTAACTCTGATAGTATTTTTTTTTTAAATTAATTTTATTGGTACACATTTGACATAGATAATGACCACACTCATCCTAGGGAATTCAACAAGCTTTCTTTTTTTTAAATTTTTTTTTTTTAACATTTATTTAGTGTGCGTGTGTGTGTGTGTGTGTGTGTGTGTGGCCAGCTCAGCCCACCAGGGGGCGTGGCTGGCCGGCATGTGGTGCTGGGGGATCGAACCGTGGTCCCTGTGCTTTGCCAAGCTTGTTCCAAGTAGGTGCTTTAGACCACTGAGCCATCTCTCCAGCCCCTCTGATAGTATTTAAAGAAAACATTTTTAGCCGGAGAGTTAGCTCAGCGACTTAAGTGCCTGCCTGGCAAGCACAAGGTCCTAAGTCCTTGGAACCAAAAAAAAAAAAAGAAGAAGAAGAAAGAAAACATTTTTAAACTTAGAGACATTTTCTCTTTATTTCTCACTAGTGGTGTGATGTTGAATAAGGCTAACTTCTTTGAAAATGAAAAGGAATAACTTGTATGAATTACATATCTTACATGCTCTAATTTTGACCTGAGCTGTTGGGAATAGCTGGTGAGGAAATCAGCTGTTTTGATAGTGTTCAAATAGCTGATCATTTATATAATTCCTGTCTCAACAATTCTGTCTTCTTATAGTTTATTCATTGTAATGGGAAGACTATCACAGTATCTTAAACCTCTTTCATCAAAGATTTTCAGAAATACTGGTTTGTTGAACTTTATTTCAAAAGAAGTCTTCTATGGTAAAGAGAAAATAATGGGTTCAAATCCCATTACTGCCATTTATCAGTTGTATGTAGTATAATTTTGGGTTTTTATTTTGTTACGTAGAATGTGACTGTCCTAGGCAACTGGTCTTTGTAAGTAATAGGGTTACATCTTCTTGTGAGGATGCTGAAACTTGACTCAAGGAAAAAGAAGACAAACCGCTATAGGCAAGTAATGAATTATATAGTTCTTTGAAATAATACCCAGATTGCAGACTAGTGTGTTAATTCATGTTTTTATGTAGAATTTATACATTATGGTAGAAAGGCTCCTAATACATGTTAGATGAAGTTGTTAATGCTAGTCTTACAATTCTGTGACAAAAGGTTTTTGTTTTTCTTTTATACTTGAGGAAACTGACTTGGAAAGATTTATTACATGGCCCATAGCCACATGATAATTAAGTGATAGGGTTTTTTTTTTGTTTGTTTTGGGGGGCGGGTGCTGGGAATCAAACTCATGACCTTGCACTTGCCAGAAAGGCACTTATGCCACTGAGCTATCTCCCTAGCCCCTTAGGTGATAGTTTGAGTTTATCAGTATCTTAACTGTAATAATACTTCTCACTAGAAATAAATACACTTGCCCTTAGTTTTGCTAGTTGATGTTAAGGGAAATGAGAAATGGAGGTGTGGGAAAGTGGTATGAGCTGGACATTTTAAAAGTATTAGTCTTTTATTCATCGAAAAGGTTGAAATTCAGAAAAGTGTCATTGTAGGGTTTTAAGCAATTGTGTTTTGTTCTTGTGCAACTTTTTAACATCTTTTCGTTATATATGAACTTGTATTAATAAGTAGAATGCTCTTTTATCCTGATTTGCCCACTAGAGTCTAGTTATGTATTGTAATGGTATACAATAATTGTTAGAAGCATCCCTTTTCTTGAAAATGCTTGGATTATATTGAGATGTAACGTGAATCAACTTCTGGATTTAAAACATCATAATGTAAATATTTAACTTTTAAGTCTTTTAATTATATTCATTTTGTAGACTTGGAGTTTCACGTTATAGTTTATAAATGTTGGAACAGGAATTTGATCTGTTAATTTTTGAGGCAGTGTATATACTAAGTTGCTGATTTCCTTAGAAGAGAGGGCAAGCGAAAAGCACTTGTACACAGCGTTATACGTACACTCCGTCATCTTCAGTTAGAAGGGTAGAAGGGCAAGTTGGCAAATACTGAATGTCCTGATCTTGTTTTAGAGCTTTTTTGTGTGAGGCAACTAATATGAAGTGAGACTGGGTAATATGTTTTACAGATATTTAAGGTTTCTTAACCTTGTGTTCTGTAATGTACATTTTCTTCATACTACAGTAAAAGAGTCTCCAGGGACAATTCTCTATTTCCCTTTCTTTCATTGAAAGGAATTCCAGTTTATCATTTAACCTTGAAAAGCTTTTTAACTGTCCTGTTTCTTCAGTAGTTGCCTTCTCTTAATACTTAGTCTATTAGAATTTACTCTTGTTCACAAGTTAGTAGTTTCTCCAACTATACTTGAATCAATATCTAAATTGCCACAAACAGCAGCTCTAGAATGTTGGCTTAGGCCTTTGATAGGACTGTTAATTTTAACTACTAAATTGTTTTCTTGTATGTAGTAACTTGTAAATATGTGTAAAACAATGGGCTACTCATAGTATGATACTTGGTGTTTGACATGGGAAATCAACCCCACTGCTACCACCCCTGTTGTGCAGTTTGCATTTTAAAGTAATAGTCCAAGGAACTCAACAATTTGAACAGATTTTGGAATAGTCTCTTCCTAGAGTTTGTGTTATTTCTGCTACCTTAGAACATGTGTTGGGGCCGGGGAGATAGCTCAGTAGAATAAGCGCAAGCACAAGGGCCTGAGTTCAATCCCCAGTTCCACCAAAAAAATAAAAAAAATAAAAAAAAAAGAACATGTGTTTTAGCCATTTCTCCCTTTTTGATTAATGCTTCTTTTATTATAACTTTACCTTAGGTTCTTTATTTTGTTATTCATATTTTGATGCTGAATTTTTTGTTGTTACTTGGACACATTTTCAGCGTGATTTTAATTTACTTGAAATGACATTTTTATGTTTATTTTTTGCTGTACCTGGGATTGAACTCAGGACTTCATGTTTGCCAGGCAAGCGCTTATTCAACTAAACTATCTTCCAAGTGGCTTTTTTTCCCCCCTATATTTAGTAGAAGATCTACAGGGTCTACAGGGTCTCACTACATAGATTGGACTTGTAGTGATCCTCCTGTTTTCGGCTTCCGAAGTGCTGGGGTTACAGGTACATGCCACCATGCCCAGGTTCAGTGGCCACTGTCTCAGTGCACCCCGGGGATGGGGCCAGCATGGCACGCCAGGGATCAAACCCAGAAATAGCTTTTTTAAATAGTATTTTTAAGGGATTAAGTTGGCTTTTACTATGAATAAATGCCCAGTTATTACATAAAATGCTTTAATAAGTAAATTTTATATCAAATATTTACATGAATCTTTTACAGTGAATGTTTTAAGTTTTTCTTTATTTTTTATTTTTTATTTTGTGTGTGTGTGTGTGTGTGTGGCCAGCTCAGCCCACCAGGGGGCGGGATGGGCTGGCATGTGGTGCTGGGGGATTGAACCGTGGTCCCTGTGCTTTGCTAAGCTTGTTCTAAGTAGGTGCTTTAGACCACTGAGCCATCTCACCAGCCCAAGTTTTTCTTTACCTACCAATGGAAGTTATAGTTTACTTATTGGGATCTTTGTTAGAACACATCGTTGTCCATTTCATTTTCTCAGTCCCTTCTACCAATAGCCCTTGTCAGTTTTTGCTGTCTTGTCTCTATGTTATAGTTTTCCTAAACTGGTCTTGTCTCTGTAGTCTTCTCTCTTTTGATTATTCTTACACCAGAAGTTAATTCCAAAACATAGCATCACTGTACCAATTTGTCTAATCTCCTGTTGCTTCAGTGTAACATCTCATCTTCTTAGCATGCCTTATGAGGGCTCTTATTTTACCAGCATTTACTTCTGGCCTTCCTATATCTGTTCCTCTCTTGTACTGTTTTTTGCTCATCATGTGTTTTCTCAAACTACGCACTGTTGGTTCATGCTTTACTTAATTAGCAATAGTCGCACCTCAGATAAACCTCATTGGCTACGATACTGCCACTGCGCAAAGCTCATACTTTACTTAATGTCTCCCATATACCTTCAATCTCTAGTGTCCCCCAGTCCTTACCCCCCACACCCTCTCACCATAAACACTATATTGACCCTCCTATCCCAATTCAGGTGTTACTGATGTACATTTTATTACAGTCTGTAGATTTGTGAGCTCTTTGAAGATGAGGTCATCATGGGCTTAAAGAGGCAAAAGCAGCTAGTTTTGTGTGATTAGTGTAGTAGAAGTATATACAGGTTTGATTATGAACACTGAATGACAGCACTTGATTATGGATTGAGAGTGATGAATGTTTAATAAACATGTATTTTAAAATGCCAAACTGTATCTCAGAAAGCCATTTTGTTGTTTACAAACATCCCAAACTCTTCAGAGTGTCAGATAGTAAGAGGAGTGAAATAGAGATGAATGGATATGTGTGTGTATATATTAATACTGATACATATATTTAGGAATTGCCCAAATACAAATTTTGAGTAATTGGTAAGTGGTTTTATTAAGATAGTTTATCAACATAGTTTCTGGTGTTTATGTTTCCATATAGGATAGAGTGCAAGGGCTTGAGATTGGTACACTAGAAGTGTTTGTAGGGGTGTGTGTGTGTGTGTGTGTGTTCCATCATCTACCTACAGCTTTTTGATTTGGGATTGACAGATTGATAGTATCCCTGAGCTAGTACGAGTTGTCAAGTTCACTTCCACTGAGTAACAGATGTAAGAATGAAAAAATATATTTTCTGTCATGAAAGATCTTGGAAATGAAACCTGTAATTATTACCGTTGAGACTTTATCTCTTCTTGATTAAGAACATTAAACAGCTAAGCATGGTGGTTCATGTCTATAATCTATAACCCCAGCAACTCAGGAGGCTGGGGCAAGAGTATCTTGAGTTTGAGGTTAGCCTGCACAACATAGCCAGACCCTGTAACCACCAAAATTTTTAAAATTATATATTCATAATTTTTTAAATTAAGCCTTTTGGAGAAATTTATATAAAAAATCATATAACGAAAAATTTTGAGAAAGATAAACTCAGGCATGAACTTTGAGTGATACTTAGTTTCAGAATTATTAGAGCCAGCACATAGATACAGGTGAGGAGTTACATTACTGTTAATGAGGCAACTTAGAAAATAGATCACTTTGAATTTTTTTAGCATAAAAAACTAATGTGTGCACATCAGTGATAAAGTTCATGGTCTCCATATATTTGTAATTAGAATAAAATTTAAATGTAAATTTTTTTCCTCTCAAATAGCTTTTGCCTACCAAAAAATTTTGGGAACCTGATGATTCAACAAAAGATGGACAAAAAGGCATATTTCTTGGGGATGATGAATGGAGAGAGACTGCATGGGGAACTTCTCGTAAGTTATTACATGAAAATTATAAGTAGACTTTTTTAAGCCCTTCTTATCCCTAAATAATACTAGGAAAACATTTTGGATGTCTTTTGAGGATTTCATGGATCATTATGATTCATATTTTCTTATGGTAGCTAACCATTATCAGACAGCACATCTCATTGATTAGGGCCCATACCAACAAATATCAGTTGTTTCTTTTTTAAATTAACAATGAAATTCTGAATTATCCCCCAAATAGAGGACATATTAGTTTAAACATAGGAATTTTCACTCTTGTATTAGGTAGCCACAACTGATTTGTTTTAATTGCTGCTCTTTGTCCCTGTATTAGACATTAACTACACTAGAAAGGAGGTAAGCTGTCTTGGTTTACCAGATAGCTTGATTTACAGAACTCCTAGAAAGAGCAATGTAAATGGTTATTTCTATAAGTAGTGGGAAGAGACTTGGGCCTAAAAAACTGTATAGGGGAACAGAAACTGTCATGTAAGGAGTATAACCTGTAGGAGTTAGTGTTTTATTGATAAATTTACAAGTGTTGCTATATTATTAAAATAGCATATCATTTATCATTGCAGTTTTTAACTTTGTGATTTGAGGGATGTATAGATATGTCAGCATGTGCATAGTTTGCAAATAAGTTTTTTCTTTTCATTACAGAGTTTAATGAAGCTTGCTTAAGTTATGCAGAATGACCAAAGTAATAAAAACCAAATTCCCAGATGACAGTTACCAGGTTCACCTTTTATTTTTAGTGTTAATTACTATAAATTAGTAGGTATTTCTTTAAGCCTCCAAATTATTAAAACATTTTAAACTTTCTAGTTTTAAATTTTATTATTACTAAGTACCAAAACACCAAAACTCAAATGATCAGAAGGTTCTAGAAAAATTTAATACTTTTTTTCAGTCAAAATAAGACTTTCATGTTTGAGCCCAACCTGGGCAACTTAGTGCCTTAAAGACCCTATCTCAAGCTAAAAAAACAAATAAAAATAAAAAAGGGCTTGGTATGTAGCCCATTGTGAAGGAACTTGTTTCAATGCCTGGTATAGAAACAAAACATTAAGGAGAAAAATAAAAACAAAAACACTTTAGTAACAGGTAATTTAGGTTGGTATTTTCTTAAAATACTAACAATTTGTGTTCAACCAGTATACAAATGGTAATGTGCCAAATTTGGAGACTAGAAAGATAAATGAGAACTTGGAGTTTTCAATTAGAATTAACCTATGTTAGACCTGTAATATAAACTTTCTGGTAATTTGGGCTGGGTTACCTGTTCCTACAAATGGCACATTGTACTAAGAGTACTTTGGACTGGGTGACTTGGTCTTTGGACGTGTTTTAAGAGTTGGAAGAGGTAATTGTTAGAGGCAGGTTTTTTTTAAGGCTTTCACAAGCAGAGTATCTTGAGTATAACATGGAAATGAGAGATTACTTTTTTGTTTTGGTTAATGAATTTAGGACAGGGTCTCACTACATAGATCAGACTCATAGTGATCCTCCTGTTTTCAGCCTTCCAAGAACTGGGATTACTTGTGCGTGCCCCCGTGCCTAGTCTCAATCACTGTCTCAGTGCACCCTGGGGGCAGGGCCGGCACTGCACATTGGAGATTGAACCCTGGCCACTATGTTCGGCCTAAGCAGGTGCTTTAGTTCACTGAGTTATCTGACCTGCCCGAGAGATTACTTTTAAGATAGATGGTAGAAAAAAATGTCAAATACATCATTTTAAAAGTTTTTGCATCTTTCTTTGAATTTGAAGTTTTAGTTGTATGGATAAAATTTTCATTATTAGTTTTTTACCATTCATTACTAGGAATGGTATTTTTTTCTTTTTTCTTTTTTTTTTTTTTTTTTTTGTACTGGGGATCAAACTTGGTATCTTTTGATTGCCAGACAGACGCTTATATTGCTGAGCTATGTCCCTGGCCGAGAAAGGAATTTTGATTTCCTAACATTTAGTGAACACTAAGCATCTATAAATGTGAATGTTTCTTAGTCCAAGGGAGTTGTCGTTCTACAAAAGTTCCACAAATTTTTCTGACTCCAGGAGGCTTAAATGCAGAATATGTGAAATTCCTCAGCTAACGCAGTGTATGTATGCTTTCCTGGCACTTTTCAATCATTTGAAAATGCTGGTTTTTATAATGGAGGTATTCTCGTTCATATGTTCACTTTTAACTCCTTACTGTTTATATTCATCTTAAATGGCATTTCTTTTGGGATTCACTCCAAACTGGAAAGAATCAGCGACCTTTATTTTATTTATTTATTTATTTATTTATTTATTTATTTATTTGCGGTAACGAGGATTGAACTCAGGACCTTGCACTTGCCAAGCAAGCACATATTCTGAGCTCTCTCCCCGGCCCCAGATGACCCATTTTTTTGTCCCTATAGTACTGTGGATTATTTTTGTTGAAGCACTTTTATCATGTTGTGATTTCCTTCTATTAAACGTACGTGTGTTTTCAGGATAGAGATGATTATTGAATTCCGCATATGTAGCACAATACTGAATACACAAGAGACAGCAAATCAGTATTTTAACTGTGTAGATGGATGAATGAAAGGAGTAATTTCTTACTCATACAAATACTGAAATGGAAGTATTTTAATATGATTTAACAGAAGTAGCAGTCATTAAAAATTCCTGTAATTAATGAAATGATGATTAAATACCTTCAGCATAGTTTACGGAAAGGCTAGACCTAATATGGAAAATTACACCTGTTTACAAATGAGCCAGAGATACCTAGAGGCATATAATAATTTTCAGAAAAAACTATATGAATGTTGCTCAAATGTCTTAATAATATGTCCTACTAGTTCTCAGATCTTAATTTTTTTTTTTTTTTAATGTATTTAGTACAGGATCTAGGGGGCCTCACTATCCAGCTCAGACTCCTTGTGATCCTCCTGTTTTCAGCCTCCCAAGTGCAGGGATTACAGGCACGTGCCTGCACGCCCAGTCTCAATTCCCTTTCAGCGCGCCCTGGGGGCAGGGTCAGCACTGCAGGCTGGGGATTGAACCCTGATCCCTGTGCCTGCCTACATAGGTGCTTTAGCCTGCTGAGCTATCTGGCCGGCCCCTCAGATCTATGTAAGCAAATATTGCCTTTGTCATAAAAAAATATGTAGAAAAGATGTTCATATCAGGTAGTTATGTCTGAATATAAACGGAGAACTTTAGAAGAAATTTCTATAAATCTTTAGGTGATAGTTGGCATTTTTTACCCAAGAGTAGAGTATTCTGTGGTATTGTTAGTTTGTTTTGCTTTTTTCTTTCAGCAATACCAGGGATTGAACTTGGAACCTTGCACTTGCCAGGCAGGCGCTTATGCTGCTGAGCTATCTCCCTAGCCCCTTTTGCTGTTTTTTCTTGTTTATAATGTTATAGTATTGTGATCGAATCTGTCCAGTATAAAACTGAGTTGGAGGTTTTCATTTTAGTATATTAATTTTTATAACAGTGTTTTGTTTAGCTTAAATATATAAATACGTAATCCTATTCTTTGTTCCAAACAGATCATTCAATGTCCCAGCCTATTATGGTACAAAGAAGATCTGGACAGGGTTTTCATGGAAACAGTGAAGTAAATGCAATATTGTCTCCGCGATCAGAAAGTGGAGGCGTTGGTGTGAGCATGGTAGAATATGTACTAAGTTCTTCACCTGCTGATAAATTGGATTCTCGATTTAGGAAGGGAACTTTTGTAAGTATTTTGAGTAAAGAAATATTTAAAATTTGCTTGATACTTAATTTAAATCGGTTTATTATTCCTTCCCTAGAGCTAAATGAGGGCGCCTGCACATTAGCTCAGTTGTTTAAGTGCCTGCTAAACAGAGAGGTCAGGCTCAAGATGCTCCAGTTCGAAACCTGTTTCTCACAGGAAACCAGAAATGCCCTCAAGGAAATTTCAGGCCACCCACCAAAAACAAAAGCAAAACAACAAATAAAAACACTCATGGGCACCACAGAAATACACAAGTGTCTCCTAAATTAGAGCTAACTGAAATTCTATAGATACTTATATTCCTGTTTGCTTTACCACTCTGTGAAATATATGAAATAATGTAACCATTGGGAATATTTATGTTCTTAACCATGTTACAAAGTTAAACCTCATTTTAATATATTTTTCAGGTTTTTTTTTAAATTTTTTATTTAGTGCAGGGTCCACAGGGTTTCACTATACAGATCGGACTTGTAGTGATTTTCCTGATTTCAGCTTCCCAAGCTCTGGGATTACAGGTGCATGCCACCAGGCCCAGTCTAAATCAGTCAGGGCCAGCACGGCAGGCCGAGGATTGAACCTTCAACCTCCACAACTGCCTAAACAGGTGCTTTAACCTGCTGAGCTATCTGGCTGGCCCAGTTGAAAAGGATTCTTTTTTTTTTTTTGACTGGCACAGGCTGCCTTAAGGGCGAGTCTGATGCGGCCTGTGGAGCTGGGGTTTGAACTGCGGTCTCCTACGCCTGACTGGGTTTGCTCAAGCAGGCACTTCAAACAACTGAGCTAACCCACAGACCCCTCATTTTTTAAAATTAAAATTGTTTATTGCTGGTAGTACTTGATCTGGAAGTAACTAAAAAACATTGTCCATACATTAAATATTTTAGTCTGTGGTCCTGCTTTTCCAGCTTCACTATAGTTAAGATTGCTTTAACCCTTCTGTTATAAAGCACTATAATTTATGTCTCAGTTTTTCAGCCTTTGCTAGATTAGTTATGAAATTAAAATTCAGTGTTTTTATTGTTTATATGTGCTATAGTGTTGTTTTATATCATTATGGTACCTTTTTTGTGTTCTATTAAGTATTCAGAGTTAAATAGAATTCTTTCTCCTCAGGGCACTAGAGATGCTGAAACAGATGGACCTGAGAAAGCAGATCAGAAGGGCAAGGCTTCTCCATTTGAGGAGGACCAAAACAGAGATCTTAAACAAGAAGATGATGATTCTAAAATAAATGGCAGAGGTTTGCCAAATGGAATGGATGCCGATTGCAAAGATTTTAAGTAAGATTTTAATTTTCTTGAGAAGAAAGGCATATTTCTTTAGGGATTATGATGATTAATTGATGTGACTGATTTGAGTATTTTCATAAATTTCTTTTACTTTGTACTTTGTGTTAATCCTTATGTTTTATTCATAAGGAAAGTTAGCTAATGATTATGAGCCATTAAATATATATAAATCTTCAAAACAGTATATAAAACATTCTATGAAAGGAATGATGTTAGAAGATGCTCTTTTTATTAATGTAATAGTTTAAATTTGAACTTTCTCATTTGTGAAAATTTATTGTTACAGGTTTAATCTCTTTTTCCTCTTGGTGTTCCATTTGGGCACCTTTCAGTGGAATTTTATCTTCTATCACTGTAGCCTCCTGCCTTTTTAATATCAGAAATGAGACAAAATTAGAAACAGCGACTTTTCTTATAATATATGAACTTAAGGTATTAATACTACTTTATAAAAAAAGTGGTGAACATTTTAGAAGCTTTAGAAAAGTAGTTTTAAACTCAGCATTTCTTTTTTTTGGGTGGGGGAACCAGGGATTGAACTCAGGCCCTTGCGTTTGCCAGCGAAGCGCTTATTCCACTGAGCTATCTCCCTGGCCCCTGCATTTCTTAAGTTAATACCTTTTTAGTCGTCTCTTTAGGTAATTAAATACTTTGCTTTAACCATTGGTCTCAGGCAGTATACATTTATCTATTTCATACTAACTTATGTATTTTCTCACTTTAGTCAGATACTTTGGAGCTGTTACCTGAATATGAGTTGTTTCTTTGAGATCTTATGAAACATGGAGTATTAGATAACAGTGTAAATTTGTTGGTTATGTGCTTTTATGTTTGTTGCCTTTTTTTTTTTTTTTTTTAAACTTTATTTGGATTTCCAGAAATGGGCTGTTTGGGTTTTTTTTTTTGCAGAACTGGGGATTGAACTCAGGCCCTTGCACTTTCCAGGGAAGTGCTTATTCCACTGAGCCATCTCCCCAGCCCCTTTTTTGTCTTTTTTTTTTTTTGCAGAACTGGGGATTGAACTTAGGCCCTTGCACTTGCCAGGCAAGCGCTTATTCTACTGAGGCATCTCCCTGGCTCCTGTTACCTTTAATAAAGCAGGATAACAGTATGTCTTAGAAATAGTGCCATTTCTGTCTGTTCTGAGTACAAAAAAGCATCCAAAACCAGTAAACCTCTGGACCATAAGTTTTATGTTGTCCAGTTTGTGTTAGATCTTTGTCCTGTTTCCTTTTCTGGTAGTATCTAATCTAAGTTTTATTAAAGGACATGTCTTTAAAACTCTTGATCATAACACATTATATTGTACATTTGTAATTGAAGTGGTAACATACTATTAACTATAGCAAGAAAATAGTGCCACTAATTGCATGATTTCTTTTAGACTTGTTCAATATGAGTTACTTTGTATGAAAGGTTATACTTCCCTTAAATTACTGCTATGAACATTATTTGCATTCAAATATCCTAGTAAATTTTATGTATTTAAAATTGATTATTCGGAGGCGACCTGGTCAGGTCCCCCTTCTGTCCCTCTCTGGCAGAAGCTTGCTTTGCCCTAATAAATATATTTTGCTCTTAAAATAAAATTGATTATTTGAAATACAATGTTAGCCACTACCTGCAGGGTAAAAGTGTTTCAAAAGAATACCTGTGAGCATGGCATGGTGGCACAGGCCCATAATCTCAGCATGTTGGGAGACTGAGGCACGAAGATCACAACTTTAAGCCCAGCTGGGGAAGTTTAGCACCTTAGCAAGATACTGTCTCAGAATGAAAAGGAATGGTGATAAGGGATGCAGCTCAGTGAGACGGTCCTACGTTCTTTTTCCTTTCTTTCCCTTTCTTCACTGTTACAGAAAATCCTTTCACTTTTGTTTTTTTTCTTCCTCACATAGGTTTCAAATGAAAAATTAGCCTTCGAAATGTTCTAGTACAAGTTAGGTGTGACTAAAAGAGAAAGGAATTTGAAATCTAATGCTGCAGTGAGAATGGTTGATTTTTTTTTTTTTTTTAAATGTTATTTTTAGGTGAAGAATAGTTCTCATACTTAGGAATTATTTTGCAAACTACCCAGGCATATTAGCAAATTTGTGCCATGTGTGGAGCATTTGAAGTTAGGGACAGTTAAGAGTATTGTAGCATGGCATTAATAACCAGGTAGAACACTTATTGCCGTTAATTTAACATACTTAATATTTAATATTTAAATATACTACGACTACATGGTTCCTCAGAAAAATAAACTTTGGTTTGGGTAAGGGAAGGAATCCTGTATAAAATACTTATGTAGGAGAAAAACAGCTTGTGAAGATTAGAAATAAGGTAAAAATAAAATTTATACCCTGAGGGATGTTGATGAAAAGAGAAAAGCCATTGTTTAAAATTTAATTCAGTATTAATGAATTAAGGTCATAGTACAATGAAGAGCCTTACTGTGCTATTGACTTAATTTTTTATAAATATGCTATACATTTACTTTTTTTTTTTTGGTGGAACGGGGGATTGAACTCAGGCCCCTGTGCTTGCCAGGGAAGCACTTACTCCACTGAGCCATCTCCCCAGCCCTACATTTCTTTTTGATAGTTTCAGTTACCAGAATTTGGTATGATAAAAGTTGTCTTTGGAAAGTTGTCATAGAGGACTTTTACAAGTAGGTTCTGGAGCCATCAGCTATTTGGTCACAAGGAACTTTGGGATCTGAAAGATGAAATGATTTGCTCAGAAAGCATGTTTAAAAAGAATCCAAGGCTGGGGAAGATGGCTCAGTAGGGCCTGAGTTCAATCCCCGGTTCTGCCAAAAAAAAAAAGAATCCAGAGCTATCCCTTTGTCTTTTAATTGTATTCTATTCCAGGTTTCACACCCATAAGTCATGAAGGCTGTCATTATGTAATGACACTTTTTCTGTAAATCTTATTAAGCAAGATATTTTGGCAAAAATCATGTGCTAGTGGGCAGAACCAGCAGTATAAGGGTGGATTTTAGTTTTGAGCCTTCCATACTTGTTCCTTAACAGTCTGCTTTTCGTAGGTGCCATTCATTTTATCTGTGATTTGCGAAAAAGGTTCCAGGTAGAGGAAGTGTAAGATGTGATAATGGCCAGTTTTTCTTTCTTACTTACAAAACTAAGTGCTTATGCTGTTCAAATTGAGGAGCATGATTATTACTAATGTAAAAAATCACGTACCATATCAACACATGTATAAGAAATTATAATAAATAGAAATTAAAAATGTGATAAAGAACAGTGGTTAGTAATCCAGAATGCCATATTCTCTATATGTTACAATCATTTATTGCTCATGGGTGTTACACTCCTATTTTACCTTTTGACTTTTACTCATAATGCTCTTTTCTATGTTTTTTATTTAGTCGTACTCCTGGAAGTCGTCAAGCCTCTCCAACTGAAGTAGTTGAGCGCCTTGGCCCCAGTACTAATCCCCCAGAAGGACTGGGTCCTCTTCCCAATCCTACAGCTAATAAACCACTTGTTGAAGAATTTTCAAATCCTGAAACTCAGAATCTGGATGCCATGGAACAAGTTGGTCTGGATTCCTTACAGTTTGACTATCCTGGTAATCAGGTACCCATGGACTCTTCAGGAGCTACTGTAGGCCTTTTTGACTACAATTCTCAGCAGCAGGTAAAGTGCATTTCTTCTTTAAGAAGCTTCTAGAAAACCAAAAAAGAAACTTTAGCTACATACCGTTACAATGTGAAATGCAGTGAAACTGCAAGTGATAGCAGTTCTGTCATTTATTGTTTCATTAATTAAAATGTTCCTAAAGTTGAGAAAGTGCTCAAAAAAGTGTTTAAAATATCTCTTCACCACTTCTAACTGAAAATGAAGTGTTTTGACACTAATCTTTATATTAAATACTTTCCCTAGCTCTTTCAGAGGACTAATGCACTAACAGTTCAGCAGTTAACTGCAGCTCAACAGCAGCAATACGCATTAGCAGCAGCTCAACAGCCACATATAGGTGAGTCCTTGTAGATTACCATTTTGGCTATGCATAGAAAAATAATTATGTTAGTGTTTAGAATGTTTGTTACTGCTAGAGTTCTACTGTGGTATGTGCTGTATTGTCTTTTTTTTTTTTTTTTTTCCCCTTTGGCAGAACTGGGGATCGAACTCAAGCCCTTGCGCTTGCCAGGGAAATTGGAATAAGGATTTTTTTTTTTTTTTGGCTCCGAATGCCTTCAGGGCAGGTTTGGCTGGCTTGAGTTGCGGGGATCGAACCACAGCAACCTGAGCCTGACTGCTTTGTTGAAGCAGCCGCTCAAAGAACTGAACTCCGGGGCAGGCCCCCTATATTGTCTTTATTGGGATATGTTTTATCTTTTTCTCTTCTTTTTTTTTTTTTTTCCCTTTGCCCCTCACCAATGCACATATTTTAGTGTTCATTAATACAGATGATCCTGCCACTAATGGTAGTATTATTTCTCTTCCAGCTGTGCTGCTCACCCTATTAGTCCCTTTCATGTACTGACTGGTGATGTTTTGTTAATTTTTGAAACATCTCATTGAGATCAACAGTAATAGATTATATGGTAAGGGTATTGATTAGGGAAGAACTGTTTCTGATTATTTGCAGTATTAGTTAAAATCTATAATTTGATACAAGTTGTCGGCCCATGAATTTTTAAAATTCCTTTTCTTTCATTCAATTATTTGATTTTTGACCTTTAATGTGAATTGTTACAGTTGTTTGTTACTGCTAGAGTTCAGGTGTGTTATGTGCTGTCTTGTCTTTATTGGGATCTGTTTCTGTTCTTTTTTTTTCTTTGCCCCTCACCCAGTGCAAATCTTTAGTGTTCATTAATACAGATGATCCTGCCACTAGTGGTAGTATTATTTCCCTCCCAGCTGTGCTTCTCACCCTATTTGTCCCTTTCTATGGTAGTATATGTAGTAAAAATAGTTCTGATACTTTTTTTTTTTTTACTTTTTATTTTGGAATAATTGCACATTAATATGAAGCTGGCCAAGAATAAACAAATTCACTGTATCCCTTTATTCATTTTCTTCTACAGGCTATATCATATGATTATAGTACTTTGTAGCACAGGCCTGTAATACCAGCGCTGAGAACGCTGAGGCAGGAAGATCATGAGCCTGAGGCCAGCCTGAACTACATAGTAGAACCCTGTCTCAAAAAAAAAAAAAAGAAAAGATCAAATTTTGGACTTTGACGTTTGTCTCAGAAAATTAATGGGAATATTAAAGTATAGGAGGGAAACATGCTCAACAACATTTCTAAGTCGTCATTCATAGTGATTTAAACTGGTGCTGGCTGAGGAATATACATACTGATAGTGGACTGGAACATTCTTACACGGGGGTGAGGGTGGTGGTTAGTGTTAGTGTTAGGTTAGTGTTAGGTTAGTGTTAGGTTAGTGTTAGGTCAGAGTGTTAGTGATACTGTTACCAGGCTGACACTGAGTCTGGCCTACCCAGCCATTGCAGACTTGCTGACTTCTTTGCATTAAAAGAATTTTCAGGACATGCCAGAGAGAGATATGGGGGGTGCGGTTTATTAGGCTAAGACAGAATAAAGTACAAATATTCCTTGTTCAATGAGGTACCTGCTTAATAATTGTTCAAATTTATGACTAAGCAGTGATACTTGGACTTAAAACCCATCTTTTTATATATGCGTATACAGTTCTGTACATCTTGTTTATAGAGCTTCAGCACCTTTATACTACACAAATAAAAGCAAAGCTGTCAAGTTGAACTTTACTCTGACCATTTCTTTGTTCCTTTTTTTTAAAAAATGTATTTGGTACAGAGTCTCACTATGCCACTCAGACTCGTAGTGTTCCTCCTGTCTCAGCCTCCCCAGCACTGGGATTACAGGCATGCACTGCTACACCCTGTCTCTGTGGCCAGCTCAGTGCATCTGGGGGCAGGACTGGTGCAGCATGTGGTGCCAGGGATTGAACCCTGGTACCTGCCCTTGCATAAGCAGGTGCTTAGTCCATTGAGCTATCTCGCAGGCCCCATATGTTCTTGATAAGAATATAAGTTGGTACATCTTTCCTGTAGGAAAATTTGGAAATGGGCATTAGGAACTTACGTGTCTGTAATGCTGCTGCTTAGAATACTGAGGCAAGAGGGATATAAATTGCAGGTTAGCTTGGGCAACTTGGTGAGACTCTGTCCCAAAATGGCAAAGGGAGAGAATTACTTACCTAACATGCTTAAGCCCATAGTTCAGTATCCCTATCCCTAAATTACATGCTTTTGCCCATTTTAGTGAAATTACATAGGGATATTGATACAGGAGAAATAATAACTCCCAACCTGCTAGGTGTCAGATACACTGAGTTCATATCCCCCAGAAATGAAGAATGTATTCCAAGTGACAGTGGAGGTTAGGAAGAGTAAAGCTTTATTGAGAAAAAACTGCGAGGGGTCTCAAAATATGAATTCTTGCCAAGTAGGGCCTTGGCTCAGATAGGAACCCTGGCCTTGGCTCAGATATGAGGAATTGACAAGCAGGAATTTTTTTTTTTTTTTTTTTTTTTTTTTTTTTTTTTTTGACAAGCAGGAATTTGACTACAGACTAGAATATGAAGTGTGTACATATATTGTACATCAAAAAAATGAGATAAATCTATATCAGTAAGGAGAAATTCATACAGTAAAATCACAATGTGGATACAGTGTGGGTTAAAGTATAGTCAGTTTATAAGATTGTAAGTATAGGTGATAGTTAATATTGATCCATTAGGGAAATGAGTCACATAGCAAGGGTACATGGGAAGAACAAAGGTATTTTTGGTAAGGGTTGAATCCAGGTGCACTGGTCACCCAGCTGGGAGACTGGATTGGACCATGTGATACTAAGTACAGTACAATCCAAAGTTACTGTTTATACCCTTGGGAGGTATGTAGGCCTGGCCATTGAAGCTTTATTTTGTTCATTCTCATTGGGGAAATTCATTCATTCATTCTTTCTTTCTTTCTTTCTTTCTTTCTTTCTTTTTGGCAGAACTGGGGATTGAACTCAGGACGTTGTGGTTGCCAGGCAGGTGCTTAAGCCATTGAGCTATATCACTAGCCCTGAAGCTTTATTTTGAAGTTGGGCCTTCATCTCTTGCATTGTCAGCCACAATTCTAATGTCTTTTATTTTCTTTCTTGAAAGCCCAATCTTTTTCTGGTTGTATATTAATTTTTATCTAATTTTGCTGCCTATAATGTGATAATTTAGAGGCCTCTGCAGCTTTTTTTTTTTTTTTTGCGGAACCAGGGATTGAACTGAGGCCCTTGCGCTTGCCAGGGAAGTGCTTATTCCACTAAGCCATCTCCCCAGCCCCTGCAACTTTTTAAAAAATCTATTTATTTATTTGGTGTAGGATCTTACTATATAGTTCACAATCATATCAGTCTTCCTGTCTCAGCCTCCTCAGCTCTGGGATTACAGGCATGTATCACCATGCCCAGTTTCGATGGCTAGCACAGCATGCCTGGGGTTCTGGGGCCGGTTCGGCATGCAGTACTAGGGATCAAACCTGGGTACTTGCACTTGCCAGGCAGGTGCTTCGACCACCAAGCTATTTCCCCAGTCCCCTCTCTAGTTTTTTTAAAGGCATTGTTTATACCCAAAGATTATGAATTGTCTAGTTGTATTTCAGTAGTAAGCTGCATTGTGTTTCTTCCTTACAGAAATATACCTGTCGTGCAGCTATTAAAAATAGCTAATGTGTTTTGTTTTTTAAAATAGGAATACCAGAACGAGTCTGTAAAGAAGCCAAGGAACCTCTCAAGTTGGAGTCTCCTAAACCAAACTAGGGGAAGCGTGTTTAGGGAGTGCTGCTTATGTAGTTAGCCGGAGGCTTGTTTCCTTAAGGGGGGAAGGCCCAAAAGTTTGCTGTGAAGGTTGGGTATACAAAGAAGGAACCCTGGCCCTACCCTATTTCTCTTCCTTCTAAAAGCAACACTGTCTTTTGAGAAGCCAGAGTCGGGCTAGAGATGCTGTGTGGACTGGCTACACTCCTGTTGGAGTAGAGAATGGAGGGTTAACAGCCAGGGAGGAAATTGCTAAAGGTTGTCCCAGTCCACTAGGGGTGGGGGGGTGTGTGGCAGAGGAAAGGGAGGTGACGAAGAGGGTACATTTTCTTGGCTCAGATATATCTATGAGGAATTGAAAAGCAGGAATGTGGCTACAGACTAGAATATGAAGTGTGTACATATATTGTACATCAAAAAATTGAGATAAATCTATCAATAAAGATTATGCAAAAACATTTGTTTCCTACTTTACCCTGATAGTATTTGAATTTTTAAAAACGTTTTTATGCTAGAACTGTAAAATATAGTTTAAAAAGTATGTCCTAGACAAGCATATTGGCATTTGCCTGTAAGCCCAGCTGTAGAGACTGAGGCAGGAGGTTCACTGTGAGTTCAAGGCCAATGTGGGTTACATAATGAATCCAAGGTTAGTGTGTCTCAAAAGAAAGAATTATGTTCTAGTTTTTAGGTTTGTATAATAAGTAAAATGCAAACGTTACTGCGTTGCTTTATATTCCTATGAGAAATTTATGATGGCTAAACTAGAAAGAAATTTTGAAAGCTTTGACCTAGTCTTAGTTAAGAATATGACAGTGAGCAAATTAAATTAAGCATAAATACAAGAATTTTAGTAAACCTATAGTTTAATTTTTAATTCATAAACTGAGATAAAATAAGTTCATGCTGTGGATCATAGCCAAAAGCTTTGAAAACTAATAGGATTCAAAGTTAGTGTAAATGTAGGATCTTAAATTTAAGACCTAGACTTAAAAATATTATTTTCCTTTTGTATACTTTCTTAAAAGTTACTTTTTAAATAGCGTGTGATAACACCCCTGTTATCCCAACACTTAAGAGGTTGAGGCAGGCATATTGCATTGAGTTTGAGGCCAGCCTGGGCAACATAGTTGAGACCCTGTGTCAGGGGGGGAAAAAAAAATCCCAGAGTCATATTACCTAATTTTATATCCCCCATCTTTTTTATTTATTCTCCGTCTTTAAACTTGATCCTTTTTGATCTCCTTTAATTCTGAATACCTTCTTATTAATTTTTTTCTTTTTCAGTTGTCTCAAGAAATTTACTCTGCATAGTGACAATACATTTTTCAACATAATTTTTTCAGTAATTACAATGAGAAGTCTAGTGAGTCTCAATACTCAGGAGTTTTCTTCTCTTTTAGTAAAAAAATAAATACAAATACATGTTTAAAAATCTTTGTTAACCTTTTCTAGATGTGTATATTCATATGTTAGACTCAGAAATAGGGGCTTTGCAGTCATTGTGCTTTAAACTTCTTTGTTTCCTTGTTTGGAGGGCAGAGTCCAGAGTAGTGCACTAATCAGGAACTCAGTCATCAGTGTAGTTATAGCTCCAGTTTTATTGCATTTTACTCTATGTTTCATTCATCTTATTGACCCCTTCCAAAGTTTATTAGGTACCCCTTCTGTCTATATCCATATTGCTTATAGTAGTAAATTGGAATTCCTTATTGGCTGGTTATTCTCACCCAATAGTCTTTGTGGGAGGCAGCTGCATCCTCTTTCCTCAGTGTGGAATATCTGCCTCATAGTGTTGCTTAATAAAGATTCATTGAGAAACTTACTGTGTAGTAGTTCTAGCTCCAAGCACCTTGTATTCTGATACCGTATAATCACATCATACTTGATTTTCACAAAAATTATATAAGACAACAGGAGATAGTTCTGTTTCTTCAATGAAAAGCTTTAGCATCAAGTAGTATTATATACTGGAGTCACCTAGTGAAACTGCACCATTATAATGTTCTGTCCCACCTGAGGTTCAGAATGGAAATGTTTTTATGTAATGAAAATAAAACTTGACATTTTTGTTCACTATTTTCCCCTTTAAATATAGCTGGTGTGTTCTCAGCAGGCCTTGCTCCAGCTGCATTTGTGCCAAATCCATATATTATTAGTGCTGCTCCTCCAGGGACCGATCCATACACTGCAGCAGGTTTGGCTGCAGCAGCAACATTGGCAGGTAACTTACTGCTCATCCTTACTGATTGTAATGGATTTAGTTTTGATTTTGGTATAAATTTATTTTCATCTGTTTGGGAAATTTGAAATTCGTGTGAAAAACTGACAATCCATAGTGATCTGAAGTTTCTAGGTATTTTTCAACTGCAATGCTTCAGGGGAAAGCCTAAGCATTAACTTTTTCTTCTTTTATATACTTAGTTGGTTTGCTTGTCTGTTTTGTAGCTTTAGAAGTCTTAAGTTGCATATCTCCATTTTAGTGACCAATCTAGTGTTCAGAGATGATGTAAAGTTACTTTTCTGAAAATGAACTGGAGGTAGATGGAATGAATGCCCATGTAAGAGACTGTAAAGATCTTCAGCATTTTTGAAAGAATACATAGCTAAAAAGTTTCTTGAGCACTGTTAAAATATGCAAACTAGGACACAAAAATTTAAGATGGAGTGGGAAAGAACTTAGAGAAAATTGTCAAATCCCACACTGCCACTCAGAATCTGTAAGGGAAACTTTCTTGTCATCTGGCACACTGAGCTTTTTGTTGCTGTGTAACTGGACATTAATACATAAAATGCTGTTATGCATAGAGAATCATTTACATATAGAAAGAAACAATTTTAAGAGGTGTTTTAATTTGAAATAAGCACCTCATGCATTCTGAATTTAAGATTTCTAACACCAGTACTGCCCAGCAGAAATGCATTTTGAGCCCAGAAATGCCATTTAAAATGTTGTGGTCTGGGCTGGTGAGATGGCTCAGTGGTCTAAAGCACCTACTTAGAACAAGTTTAGCAAAACACATGGACCGCGGTTCAATCCCCAGCACCACATGCCAGCCAGCTCCGCCCCCTGGTGGGCTGAGCTGGCCACACACACACACACACACACACACACAAATAAATAAATTTAAAAAAAAAATAAATAAAATGTTGTGTTCACAGCAAAAATAAAGAACACATAAAATTAATCTGAGTAATCATTTAATTTAGCCATTTCTCAAATGTTATTTCAATATGTAATTAATATGTTAAAATTAATAGATCTTAAGGTTTTTTTATGCTGTATCTTTCAAAATTCTGTGTAAGGGCCGGCCTGATAGCTTATCGGACTAAAGCACCTGCTTAGGCAGAGCGCAGCAGGCAGGGTTAGATCCCTGGCATGCTGTGCTAGCCCTGCCCACGGGGCGTGCTGAGAGGGCGGGCCATTGAGACAGAGCGTGGTGGTGTGTGCCTATAATCCCAGTGCATGGGAGGCTGAAAACAGAAGAATCACTATGAGTCTGATCTACGTAGTGAGACCCTGTAGACCCTGCCCTAAATACGGGGGGGGGGAATATATATCTATATCTATATATAGATATATAGATATATATATATTCTGTGTAAATTATACTGTTACTAGGAATAAGGTTTTTTTTTTGCTCTGAATGCCCTCAGGGGTGGTTTGGCTGGCTGGAGTGTTGTGGGGATCGAACTACAGCAACCTGAGGCTGACAGCTTTGTGGAAGCAGCCACTTAAACAACTGAGCTAAGGCCAGGCCCCCCTATACTGTTACTAGGATGTTTCAGTTTGAGCTATCCATCTTTAAGTTATTCAGTAGTCACAAGTGGCTTCTGATTTTGTTGGTGAAGGTCTACGATGTAAGGGTCTTGTTTTTTGCAATGAGTTATTTCTTCATAAAGTCTTTTCATTCTTGTATCAGTTCTCAGTGTAGGCTGTGCTTACCTTGCTGTCTTCAAAAATATTTTGTCTTCATAGGAGTAAACACTTCATTTTTGTGGTTCAGTCATTTATACTGGGGCTTATTTTCTTTGAAAACAAAAGTGAAACCAAGAATTGCACCTTTTAATGTATACTAGTTAAATGTCCTAAAATGTGAGTGTTGATACGATTTTACGATTCCTATTCTGTCAGTCAAGAATCATGACATTTCATTCATACTTTAATAATGGTATCCTTATTGAACCTAATTCTCTTTATTCTCCAAGCATCAAATAAAGTAGAGCAGAAGTGATTTGATTTGTATTGTTTTTCTTTAGTTTGCTTTCTGGCTTGTATTTTTCTTTGTGCTTATTTTATTTGGTTCTTTATTTTAGCTCATGAGTCTTATTTTGCTACCCCTTATAAACGTTTTTTTTTCATACAAATTTTATTGCTTTGTGAGAATTTTTACTAATTCTATTTCTTTTTGGAACTAATTCTATTTCAAATATGAAGAGTATTTTTGTTTTTACTTTTTTTGGTGAAACCGGGGATTGAACTCAGGCCCTTGCGCTTGCCAGGGAAGCGCTTATTCTACTGAGCCATCTCCCCGGCCCCGAAGAGTATTTTTTTTGAACTAACTTTTATTTATTTATTTATTTATTATTTTTATTTTTTAAAAATTTTTTGGTGGAACCGGGGATTGAACTCAGGCCCTTGGGCTTGCCAGGGAAGCACTTATTTCACTAAGCTGTCTCCCCTGCCCTAAGAGTATTTTTTAAAAAGAAAGAAATTCTAATTTGTTTTAGCGCTTATAAGATGTTTAACACTTAGAAATGAATTAACCTTAGGAATCATGTATTTTTGTGGTGTCCGATGTTCCTAGGTGTGTATTACCCTTTTATCTGTAACAATCACAAGTTGATACATGTCAGGACATGTTGCATAGTTGCTTAAGCTATTCCATTGGTAGGTAACCTTAGGTTTTACTTTACATGTCTTCATTAAGACCCCTGCTTGAATACTTTCTGTTTTAATAATCTATACTTGAATACTTGCTGCTTAACAGAAGTAGAAAAAGCAGAAAGGGTATATAGCAAGTTATGTGGGCAAATAATTATAAGGATTATGTTCTCAGAATTTTTTTTTCTTATTCCTGTTTATAATCTGAGTTTATAAGGTAACCAGCCTTATGTATAAAATCCAGTAATTTCTTTTTTTTTTTTTTTTTTTTGTGGGATATTAGGTCCAGCAGTGGTTCCACCACAGTATTATGGTGTTCCATGGGGGGTATATCCAGCCAATTTATTTCAGCAACAAACTGCTGCTGCAGCAAACAACACAGCGAGTCAGCAAGCAGCATCACAAGCTCAGCCTGGACAGCAACAGGTAGGGTTTCCTTCATTGGCTACTATTTGAGGAATCTGAACTCCTGGTGCTTAAGATCTTCTCTGTTTTTTGCTCCTTATATAACACCTCTCCTGGCATGTAGTTGGTAAAAAAAAAACTACTCATTGCCTTTTTTCTTCCACCTGACTGTATTTCATTTCTGTCTTGAAAACTCTACATAGATTTTTTTTTTTTTTTTTGTGGAACCAGGGATTGAACTCAGGCCCTTGCACTTGCCAGTGAAGCGCTTATGCCACTGAGCCATCTCCCTGGCCCCCCACAGCTTTTAAATTTATTTTCATCATTTCTTAGATGTATCCTAATAATGGTCTTACCAGAATAAATGCCCCTTCTTTTTCTCCAGGTATTTAAATTATAAGTTTAAATATTAATGTTCCTGATCATTAAAAGGTTGTTAGAAACCTTACATTTTTAAGCAAGGTAAAATATTTTTGCTAAAGTTTACCTTTAATTTCTTGAAACTGTTTATTGTGAGCTTTTTACAATTTTCAGCCAAAGGGCTATCTTGATAAATGCTATTAGGAACAAAACAGCAACAATAAAAGACAATATACACTGTCGAACTATCAAAATTGAGGCTCTTTCATCATACTTCATACCAGTGAAGTAACCTAATGATAAATGTGCTAGTGCTTACTTAGCAGTCACATTTTATTCTGAATTTCCTTTAATGTATTTGAAAACTGTATTTGATGCTCTGTGGAAATTGTCTTTTGCTGCAGTCCTTTTATATCATAGCTCAAAATCATTAATAAACTATGTTGTAACCTGTGTCTTTGACCAAAGACAAAAATACCATATTGCCTTGACAGTATACATACATGTATTTGATGCTGATATAGGTTGGTCCTGAATTGTTTGAGCATTTGTAAAATTGATGATTATGTTCAGTCTGCTTGTATTTATTACTATAATAATTGTGTGGTACCTCTAAGTAGTAAAAGTTGACCAGATTTAAGAGCATCTTGTTTTGTTTAGATGTTACCTTCCTTTTTTTTTTTTTTTTTGTTTTTCATACTAAGATTTTACATTGAAAATAGCTTTTACTCATAAAGTTTCTGAATACTTGGTTTGAAGATTTTGCTCTGTATTGCTATCTCATAACAAAATATACTTCTTTTAAGCTTACTGTTTCACTTTTCAGCTTTAGAAAATAATTTTAGTAAAATTTAATTGTTTTGTTTTCATCCTAAATTTTTTTTTTTTTATTTTCTAAAATACAAAAAAATAAACCTTTAGAAACAGTACAGAATTTCACCCACCAGATCAGTAGGAATTCAACTATGGAAGATTTTTACCCAGAAACCTAGAAATTAGGTGTTGTTTTGAGTTGTCCTAGTTGTAATGAACAAATTATTTTGTAACTTTGTACTAAATACACATTTTATCACATGTAGAAAAAATGTTGCTTGTCCAAAACATACCACAAGTCCACTTGTAATATGTATATAGTAGTTGAAGAAAAATTCATTTTATTTAAGAGAGTCATCTGTCCGTTGTAGGTTCTTCGTGCTGGGACTGGTCAGCGTCCTCTTACTCCCAACCAAGGTCAACAGGGACAGCAAGCAGAATCACTTGCTGCAGCTGCAAATCCAACTTTGGCTTTTGGGCAGGGTCTTGCTACAGGTATGCCAGGTATGTAATTGGTTTGTTTATTTGTTTGTTTATTTATTTATTGGTACCAGGGATTCAATTCGGGACCCTGCACTTGCCAGGCAGATACTTAAGCCATTGTGCTATCTCCCTGATCCTTGTAATTGGTTTATTACAGGGGAGATTTTGTTGTTGGAGGTCTTGAGGTTTTGTAGAAATTTGAATGAATGTACAACGTTAGATAGAACATTTTTACAAAAAGTAAATAAACCAAGAAGTGTTTTTAAAGTCTTACTACTTTGCAGTAAATTACTTAGAACTTATACATGAAATCAAGATAGACTTAAGAGGTAAATGGTAGATATGTACATGAATTCTTTTTTTTTTTTTTTTTTTTTGTGGCCTCAGGTTGAGGTTGCCTTCGGCACAGGTCTGGTTTGGCTTGAGTATCTGGGTATGGAACTACAGCACCCTGAGGCTGACTGCTTTGTTTAAGCAGGCACTTAAACAATTGAGCTAATGGGCAGGCCCCCTGTACATGAATTCTTAATGCAGACATTTTTTTTCTTACTCTGTTAATGACAAGAACTACAGCATCTTTCTAGCTGAATTTAACCCATAATTTTCAGTGTTGTACTTTAGGAAGTAAAGCCAGTTCATTGGTGTTTGTTTGCAGGGCAAACCTTATTTGCCATACTTTGCTCATAAAAGAGTTACTATTGAGTTTACAACTAAGATGTTCTACTTTGAACATTTTCACACTTGTTTAAGCCCATGTATAGCATTTTGAAGTAATGATGTTTTAACTTAATAGCAGCAATATTTATTATATGCCAGTAGTGCCTGATGTATAGAAAATTATAATATAGCATTTCTGTCCACTGCCATTGTAGAAAAGCACAATAAGGTACATTTTCTTATGAAGTAGATTTTGGTGAAACCAGATTTAAAATCTGTAATAACAGAGAAAGGAAAGTATTTCTTTTCTTTCTTTTTTTTTAAAATGTATTTTGTACAAGGTCTCACTATGTAGCTCAGACTAGTGATCCTCGTTTTCAGCCTCTCTAGTGCTGGGATTACAGGCCTGCTCCACCATGCCCAGGGGTGGAGCCAGCACAGCATGTGGTACTGAGGATTGAACCCCAGTCCCTGTACTTGCCTAAGCAGGCACTTAGTCAGCTGAGCTGTCTTGCCAGCACTGGTAGAGTATTTTTCTTAAATCGGGAAACTAGCACATTTTAGGTCTGTTACTTATCTATTAATTATTACTGTTATTATCATTTTGATATTGAGGATTAAACCCATTACTGTTTGTTCTTGGTTGAGTTGGGATTCCCCCCCCCCCCATGAGGAATCAATACCTTTCTGCCAGCTTGAACCCCACTGGTGGGTACAATTCTGACTGTCCCACCAAGCAACTTGAACTACTGGTGATCTAATTACCTTTATCAGTTTTTTTTTTTTTTTTTTTAATGTATATACCATTAATAAAAAGCCCCCCAGAGGGACAGTCTTGCATGAACCAACAGTTGAAGCCATCTGACCATGAGTCATATAGGTTACAGCTGGCCCCATTCAGCCCCATCAGGAGTATGTTAACTCAGTGCCTCCATTGTTCAGTCACTGAGGCTATACATATCAATGCCATTGCATTAGGTTTGTTTTTGTTTTTTTTCAGTGCCCATGTCCTCATGTATGCTGCCTTGTAGGCACTGTGGCATTAAGCTACATTTCATTCCTCCTTTAAACTTAGAGACCTAGTCTTCATATATTGCCCGTTTTGCCTTTGAACTTGAGAGCCCCTTGCCTCATTTGGCCACCGTGCCAAATTCATTGTGTTTTCAAGTGAAATTTAAATACCATGGTTGAATATCTGTAGATAATACCTTCCATTCTTTGTACTTCTGAAAATCACCCTTCTTAGTTTTTTTAAAATTTTAATTAATTAATTATTTTTTCCATAATTTTATTGAGAAAAATGGCAGAAGGATTTTTTTTTTTTTTTTGGCTGGCTGGAGTTGTGGGGATCAAACCATAGCAACCTGAGGCTGACTGCTTTGTTGAAGCAGCCACTTAAACAACTGAGCTAAGGAGAAGGCCCCATCAGTATGATATTTTTTACTTGTGGTACAGAGTGGTTCCTCCTAATACTAATTATATGGATTATTTATTAATGAAATTAGTTCATTCCCATTTAATTATAAAATAGTTTCTGTTTAGATCATTTAGGAAATATGTTCAAGTGTGTTGGGAAAGACCTTACATGACTGAAAGTTTCTTTTATGTATCAATTATGGTAAATAATCTCTATTTTAAAGATTTCTGTATCAGTTACATTCATTCTGTTCTCTGAAATTTGAGGACTGATTTATCATCTAGTTGGCTAGCTAAAAGGATTTCATAGTTGTCCCTAAAGTAAAAATAATAAGTAGAGGTCACTAGTTTTTTTAATTGCTTCTTGAGAAGCTGACTTTGCTGGTGTCATTGTGGATTAGAGACCTTGGGGAAAAAGTAGCCTTTTTGAGAAATGGACTGTGAAGCTAGAGTTTGTTTTAGATTTGGGATTTATTATTTTTGGTACAAGGAATTGAACTCAAGACCTCACACTTGCCAGGCAGGCACTGTGCCATTGAGCTATATCCTGGCCTTTATTTTGGTTTTGGTACGTGTTTGCAGTACGTACTGATAACATTCCTTATGGGGAGTAGAATGTGGGTACAACATTTTGTTTTAAAACCCCCTTTCCTTCTGCTTCCTTGCCTCTTCCTCTATCTCTTGGTCACCTTCTGTTTTGTAAAAATCAAAATCACTATTTTCTATTACTTTTATTTTGCTCTTTATATTTTGGACTTCTCATATAAGAGAAACTGAGATATTTGTCTGTCTGGCTATTTCATTTAACATGATTTCAAGGTCCATCTTTTCCTACAAATGACTCAAGTTTATCCTTCTTTATAGAAGACCAGTACTGTGCTATATGTAAACACATTTTCTTCCATTCATCTGTTGATGAACATATAGGCTGCTTCCAAGATGTAGCTAATTAGGAATTGTGCCTCTGTATAAACATGGACAATAATGTGTCACTGTAATATGGTATCTTTAACTCTTTCAGGAGAAACTTAGAAAAGGAATAAATAGCTCAAATGAAATTTCTACTTTTCATATTTTGAGAAATCACCATACTGATTTTTTTTTTTTTAAAGGGGGTTGGTACTGGGGACTGAACTCAGGGCCTTTTGTCCTGGTTACTTTTTTTTTTTTTTTTTTTGCTGGAACAAAATAACCTGACACTCAAAATTAAAGGAGAAAAGGTTTGGCTCACAGTTTGTCCATAGTTGACTGGCTCCATGGCAGGATGGCCTGGGACGGGCATCTCAGAGGAGAAGGAGCTTTGGCAGGCAGAAGCAAGCAAAGTGGTGAGAAGCAAAACAATTGATGACAGCAGCCCTCTTTCTGTCCCTGTAGATTATATACAGGCCACATGCCCTGGGGGATAGCACGCACATCCAGAGTGGGCCTTCCTGTTATCTGCATCCAAGCTATGGCAACCAGTCAGTGGGCTACTTTAGTAATCACATACCCTTGATCCCAGCATCACATAATCCCCATATCATGTATAGTCAATCCAGCCACCTCTGAAAAGCAACACTTTTACTACTTCAGCTTGTAGGTTCTCTTCTCTTTCTTGGAGATAAGGTATTACTGCATACCCCAGGCTGGCTTTGAACTTGCAGCAGTCCTCCTGCCTTAGCCTGCCAAGTGTTGAGATTACAAGCCTGCACCCCAAACATCCAGCCACAGTTTTGTACTTTTTAAAAAAATGTATTTGAGGGGCTGGAGAGATGGCTCAGTGGTCTAAAGCACCTACTTAGAACAAGCTTAGCAAAGCATCAGGGACCGCGGTTCAATCCCCCAGCACCACATGCCAGCCAGCCCCGCCCCCTGGTGGGCTGAGCTGGCCACACACACACACCACACTCTCTCTCTCTCTCTCTCTCTCTCTCTCTCTCTCTCTAATAAATAAATAAATAAATTAAATTAAAAAAAAATGTATTTGATTGTTTCAAGGTCTCACAACACAGCTCCAACTCATGATGATCCTCCTGCTTTCAGCCTCCCTAGTGCTAGGATTATAGGCATGTGCCACTACATCCAGACTCTGGCTGGCTCAGCCTGCCTTGGGGGTGGGACTGGTGCGACATGTGGTGCTGGGGATCAAACCAAGGTCCCTGTGCTTGTCTAAGCAGGCACATTAGTCCATTGAGCTATCTTGCTGGCCCCTATTTTGCTATTTTTATCACCTTTGGTCTTAGAATTTATTTTTGTAATCAACTTTCTCTTTCCATTCTGAGAAAAGTGTTGTTGTCTTTTGTTCAACAATGAACTCAATGTTGATAATTTTAGAAGAAAATCTTTTATATTTGTCAAGAATGATTAATTGGGGCCAGGGAGATGGCTCAGTGGAATAAGTGCTTCCCTGGCAAGTGCAAGAGCCTGAGTTCAATCCCCGGTTCCGCCAAAAAAAAGAATGATTATATTGCCAAGTGTGTTAGCACACCTCTGTGATCCCAGCACTGGGTAGGCTGAGGCAGGAGTGTTGTCTGTCTCAAGCGATGCCTTCTGGCGGGCTCCACTCCTACCCTTGTCCCTCTTTGCAAGCAGGCTGAAGAGTAAGCACTGGTACGC